CAGAAATACGGAGGCGGCCACTTAGAAATACTTGAGACCTTTTTACAAAGAGACTCCTTGAGTGCTAAACCGAGCCTCCAAGGTGACTGGCTGAGATGTGTTTCTGCGGCAGCGTATGTCCATCAAGTTGCGTTCGGAAGCGCTTCTCGAGATGCGTGGTCTGTTTGACAAGGGGCATTATCCTAAAGCTGCAGTCTCTGAGACAAAAAAAAAGAGATGCTGTTTTCCAGTCCCGGCGAAGAAAAACAAAAAGAATGTCGAGTTGCAGAGCAGCCGAGGCGTCGGCGGCGAACCTGTTGTATATGTATCTACGTATGTATGTATGTATGTATGTATGTATGTATGTATGTATGTATGTATGTATTCACGTCATAGGGCACATCCACGTAATTGAGGCTTTCCTGTACCCTGGAGTCGTCAATACAAAACAGACGATCAGTTGGGTCAGCATACACATACGTACACATGCACACACATGCACCCACATGCACACATCTAACCAACCCCCCGCGTTGCCTCGTCAACAAGTGCTGCTTTATCTCGCTATTGAAGCGGCTCCCAGGCAGGTTTCGTGTCACGCTTAGCAAGATGTTATATGCGATGACAATAGCGTGTCTGAACTACGCCTGCCAGACTCCGATCGAATCGCCGGCGTGACTGAATGGTCTGCGTTCCGTGTTGTACGGTACGGCGGTGAACATCTCCACGAGTAACCAGGTCGCCGGCGATCGACTCAGGCTCTGATGTCACTAAAATGCGCTTTAGTAAGCTAAGTGCCTACCGTGTTGCAGAGGGCCGAGGTGACGGCGGCGCACCTGGCGCCTGTAAGTTGCAGAGTAGCCGAGGCGTCGGCGGCGGGCCTGATGCATGTGCAGTTGCAGAGTAGCCGAGGCGTCGGCGGCGGACCTGATGTATGTGCCGTTGCAGAGTAACCGAGGCGTCGGGGGCGGACCTGATGCATGTGTGTGAGTTGCAGAGTAGCCGAGGCGTCGGCGGCGGACCTCATGTATGTGCGAACATGGGTGGAGAATTGTTTTCAAAGTTGGTATGGCGCCAGTTGCTTGAAACAATACTATCGTGTTTTATTCTTATCAAACTGAAATCCTTAAATTTCGTAGCTTTTACCCTGAAAAGTTGGTATGGCATTGCCATACCATCTTTTAAGTTGGTGTGGCGCGTGCCATGCCTGCCATACCATATTCTCGACCCATGCCGGTGCAGAGTTTATGGGGTGGCTGAGGCTATACGACGGCGGGCCTGATGTGTGTGCATGAGTAGCAGAGGAGCCGAGGCGTCGGCGGCGGACCTGATGCATGTGCATGAGTTGCAGAGTAGCCGAGGCGTCGGCGGCGGACCTGATGTATGTGCGTGATTTGCAGAGTAGCCGAGGCGTCGGCGGCGGACCTGATATGTGTGCGTGATTTGCAGAGTGGCCGGGGCGTTGTCGGCGAACCTGATGTGTGTGCGTGGGTTGCAGAGTAGCCGAGGCGTCGGTGGCGGACCTGATGTATGTGCAGTGCAGAGTAGTGATGTCAGCTACGGAAAATCGGAATACCGATACCAAACCAAGTACCAACCTAGGGTGCATTATACCAACAAATTACCGAACACATTAGGAATCAAATACCAAGTACCGAGTTGGTATCAGTATGGTATCGGTATACCGAAAAGTTGTATCCGAGGACATCTCTACTGCAGAGTAGCCGAGGCGTCGGCGGCGGACCTGATGCATGTGGGTGCCGAGGCGTCGGCGGCGGACCTGATGTATGTGCGGTGCAGAGTAGGACGTCGACTACGGAAAATCGGAATACCGATACCAAACCAAGTACCAACCTAGGGTGCATTATACCAACAAAATACCGAACATATAAGGAATCAAATAGCAAGTACCGAGTTGGTATCAGTATGGTATCGGTATACCGAAAAGTTGTATCCGAGGACATCTCTACTGCAGAGTAGCCGAGGCGTCGGCGGCGGACCTGATGCATGTGGGTGCCGAGGCGTCGGCGGCGGACCTGATGTATGTGCGGTGCAGAGTAGGACGTCGACTACGGAAAATCGGAATACCGATACAAAAACCAAGTACCAACCTAGGGTGCATTATACCAACAAAATACCGAACACATTAGGAACCAAATAGCAAGTACCGAGTTGGTATCAGTATGGTATCGGTATACCGAAAAGTTGTATCCGAGGACATCTCTACTGCAGAGTAGCCGAGGCGTCGGCGGCGGACCTGATGCATGTGCGTGCCGAGGCGTCGGCGGCGGACCTGATGCATGTGCGTGCCGAGGCGTCGGCGGCGGACCTGATGTATGTGCGTGCCGAGGCGTCGGCGGCGGACCTGATGCATGTGCATGAGTATGTATGTGCGTGAGTTGCAGAGTAGCCGAGGCGTCGGCAGCGGGCTTGATGTATGTGCAGTGCGGAGTAGGCGGGACGTCGGACGCATTGCAGTTGCAGAGTAGCCGAGGGGTCGGCGGCGGACCTGATGTGTGTGCATGAGTTGCAGGGTGGCCGGAACCAGGTGTTTTGTGTGTATCGCGTCGCAGGTTGGGGTGCCGCGTTGCACGACCCTTCAAAGCGTGCCTACCAGGCTCCCCGATTTCCTTTACGATTGTGTGTGCGCTTAATATGCCTCTGAATAGATGCGCGTCAGTCGCCGGGGAACCATCCTCATGGTGGCGCCGCGTCAGTCGCCGGGCAACCATCCTCGTGGTGTCGCCGCCAAGGAACCGCACTCCGCTGTACGTACCCCCGAGCCGTGCTCGATACGCCTCACCTGCCGTGCCGGCGTTAGTGTGCCTGACCATAGAATCCTTGTAGCCGTTGGTACTCCCCACAGCTTCCCTGGCTCCCTTCTCGCTCGCTCTCCGCTCCACTCGCCGGCGGCCATGTCGGCGTTAAGGAGTGCGTGATCGGATAATCCTCGTAGCCGTTGGCACTCCGCACGGATTCCTTAGCTCACTTCTCGCCCACTCTCTGCTCCACTCGCCGTCCGTCGCAGTCGACGACTGCCGTTCGCGCCTCTCGGCTCTGATGCCAGCGGCGCGCCCGTTCCTACACTCCCCTTCGCACCACCCCTAGTCAGGGTCTGCCCCGCGTCTGTCGGCGGGGTGATTTATCTGTCTCCGACCCCCGTCTCCCTTTGCTCCGGTCACGTTCAGTGGCGCCCGGGCAGGGTCCTAACCTTCCATAGCCGCGTCGCCGCTATGAGTTGATTTCTGGCTTGGAAGATGAGCTCCATCTTTGCATCCGAGTCGGTGCTGTCAGGAATCAGCTGGTCTAATGGAGTGAAAGTAGTGAGACGACTAGCTATTGTATCAGAGCTGTCTGGTCTTCGTAGCATTTGCACCGATTCTTCTCGATCGGACTCTGAATTCTGTTCCTCCTGCGTATTACTTGAGGCATTGCTATGTAGCTAAGACTTCATTATCCATGCTTTGCAAACAGTGCCATAACAACACAGTTAATTAATCACCAAGCTTCTTTGCAAGTTCCAATACAGTTGAATCGCACGCGATTTGAGTGCAAAAATCAAGAAAAGTGCCAACTTGTTCCCTAAAATATTTTGAATATTGACCTAAAAAAATGAGTAATTTCCAGATAAAATAACAGCGAAATCAGTTTTCGCTTGCCAATAAAACTCAAAGATATTGAAGCTCCATTATTAAAGGAACATTTTAGTATATGCCATTCTTGATAAAACTTCTTAGCCACGCAATACCAGCGCAAAATAAAGAGACACTGAAAACACGACCAATCACTCCGATTTACCATAGGAAAATACATAGAAAATGTATGTCTCAACTGCGCCAAATATACAGACAGTTATATACCTACATGTGACGTCATGATTAGCCCGACCAATCAGAAGCAAGTTGTTTTCAGCCACAAATAATTAATTTCTGAACTAACTAGGCATTTTTTTAACAAAGTGATTTTAAATTAAATCATTAAAAATTCTGAGCTTTTTTATGTTACCAAAACATACAGAGCATGCAGATAGGTCCCAACCCTATTGCGAATAGCTCGTTAAGTAGATAATCCGTCTAGCTAAGCGGTCTTTTCTCCTTTGTTATGTCAGTTCCAATCAGATTTCCGGGAATTTCTCAGTAAATTATGTTTCTTCGTCGCTGATTTTAGACGCGATCTTTTAATTAATTATCTCTTTAGTTTGTTTCTGTTGTTATTGACATCTTTATGTGTAATTTCAATAAGCACATCTCAGACTGGACGGTTATCGTCCCGGTGCTGTTTTTGTCTCCCACTGGTCTCACTGTGCGCCGTTATCGTGGGCCGACCGTGGACCGCGCCCGTAGCTGAGCGCGGTGCCGGTGACCGGGCGTTGTCCCATGGCCGGCTGTTGAGACGCGCGCGTGCCGTCCTGATTCAGTAACCCCCGGGGCGGGGCGGGGCGGGGCGGCGGCTGACCTTGGGTTATTGGTGGTGCGCCGTGCCGGCCCGCGTGGGACGCTGAAGCGCAGACCAGTGCAGGGCCTGCGTGGGTCGCTGAGGCAAAGACCAATGCTACCAGTGGTCAGAGGAGAGGTCCAGTGTGGCAAACACCTGACAGAAATAGAGAGGAAATGGGTTTCATCGTAGGAACTAGGAGCTAGGTTGTCAATCGTACTTGCATAACTCGAGGAAACGGGGCTTGTTAGATTAACTTCAATTAGCCCCGCCACTAAGTACAGTGTCTCTGTGAAACCCGCGATACCGGACCATTTTCCAGCCTATACCAGGTAATGAGCGGCCCGCCAGCCACCACGGTTCCACAGAGCCCGTGGTTACCGGTCTGAGTCGCCCTACCGGCGGCTGTGAGCTGCCTGACCCGGTCATCGGTCAGACTCGAGCGGCTCGGCTGACCGCAGCGGCCGCCGGCGCCGCCCGTCTGCGGCCGACGCGTGACACTTGCTCGCCGACTCACGGCGCGCGCCGCCGCCGTGACGGTGCCCGTGACGTGACGCACCCCGTGACGCGCCCCCGCCGGCCCGCAGATGGCGCCGACTCGACTGGCCTCTCGCACAAAGAGAGGGAGGAGAGAGTCCGCCTGTTCAAGCAGCTTCAGATGGAGGAGGTGCAGCGGAAGAAGGAGATGCTGGCCAAACAGGTGAGCTCGATCGCCGCGCCGCGCCGGGCCGGGTCGCGCCGCGTCGCCCACGCGGCCCGGTAGCCGAGGCCGGCGGCCGGCGCGGTCGGCCTGGAGCCGGCACCCAGTCGCCATGGTGCCGCCGCAGAGGTGTGTGCCGCGCCCGCCGCGCTGTGAGGCCCACCGGTGTCTGTTGGGAGGTGTGATTGTCCGTGTGGTGTGATCGTCACTAACACCGCTAGCCGCAGTGACATACGACCGTGGCATTGTGAATGTCCGCTGTGACATAGTGCAAAGTAACGGTCAGGCGTTTTTTTTTTTTATCTCGTCCTATGCCCTTTTTTGGCCCTTGGTCCTTTTCCCAATAGCGTTTATTCTGTTTTCTTTCTAATATTCTTGTTCTTGGCCTTCCTCTCCGTCCTGTTTTTTGTCCCGACGCATCCCGACGCTTTCCGTCCTCGGATATGATTTTAAGCACCACATCGGTTATTCATATTACTCCTAACAGAACATGACTCATCTTCACGCCCTGCCACTCACCGTGTCTTTAATAGTTTTGTGACCATACCTAGATCGTTAAGTTAGTTCCGATTGTGCCGTTTGGGGGATTTGTTGTCTCGCTTTTCCGTTAGGCCGCTGCCGCTCCCCGCTTACACATTGCTGCGCTTCCAAGCCCGCCAACAGCTTCCCCTCTCCCCCCACCTTTGTATCTCCCGTGTCGGCCTGTAAGTGTAGAAGCTGGGCTCGTCCAGACTTCTTGTTACCGTCTTTGTACTCTATACATCGACCCCCAATAGCCGCGCTTCTCCCCGCCCCCCCCCCCTCCCCCGTCCTCATCCGTTACCCACCTGTTACGCCCCGCTGCCGCTGCCGATCTCGCTGTCCGCTGTCCGCTGCTGTTCCCGCTGTGCCGCTGCGTCCGCCCGCTATCCGCTGAACGGCCGGCTCGCTCTGCGTGCTCTCAGGACGAGCAGGCCGCCCGGCAGCGCGAGCAAGCTGAACGGGAGCGGCGGCGACGCTACGACGAGCTGCGTCTCAAGGAGCTGGAGCGACGCACCCAGGTGAGGCGCCGATGGTTGGATGGGACAGGGCCTACCAGATACGAAGCTGTATCGCGCACACAGGCAAGGTTCCGTTCAGTTCAGTATATTTTGCTAACTAAGAACAAGAAACATCGGAGAAAATAAGCGCGGATCGGCGCAAAAGCAAAGGTGGTGCAGCAAAGGTGCTGCACCGCCGCTGTCGGACGGGGCGGGAGATCGGCGGCGCCCATTGAACGCGAGCCGCCTCGTGTTTCAGCGGGACCGTGAGCCGCCTCATCTGTCGGCTAGATCAGCTGCAGGGGAGCCCCAGGGCACTCTGTCCATTCACAGCCGGCTGGCGGTGCCGTAGGGCGCGCAGCCGCAGAGCCTACGGCTGGTGCGGCTGGTCCTGACTAGTGCCGCTGGCTGGTGCTGGCTGATATTGGCTGGTGCCGCCGGGTGGCTGTGATTGGCAGTCCATTGCTCTACCGACGCGCATGAGCTAGTGATCTCAAATGAGCCGTTTCCTGATGCGTTGTTCGACTCAGCCGGTTGAGATCTGTTTTTAGTTCGGACTGTTCTATCGCTGATTTAGTATCGGAGGGGGCTGAATTCGTGCCTCAATCGGCTTCATGGATCAACTTACATCATTTCTCGCTTAATCTTTTGAAGCCCCAGCCTCCGGTTCAGGCTGTAGACTGGCTCACTAAATGATAGTCGGGATCCCTAGCTGAACGATAAGGGTCAGGATTTAACTGCGTCACACTCACGGCTCTGGAGACGCGCGCTATCGCCTTTGTTTGTCCGTCTGACGAGCCCTTTATCTGCGCTGCCCCCTGGCACTGGGCGGCAGGGAACAGCACTAGCCGTCATTATCGCATGTTATGGGGGCTGTAAATATTGATTTTCTGTCAACAATCCTTTTTTGTGCCATATGGTGACTTGAATACTGTGTACAGTGTGATAAAAGATACGCTAGTGCACCGACTTCAAACGCAAAGAAGGTGAGCATCCGGATAGGACGACGCCTCGTATCAAGTCTCCTTGAAGCCTGGAGTTGATAAATATGTATTAGCCGCTCGACCGCTAGTCGCTACTATCCTGTGTGTTGCCAAGCTGGCTAGAAGTCGCGTGCTTCTCTATCGAATGTAGCACTTCTCAGTAACACTAAATTTAATTCAGCTGGCGCGATAAGTGATGGTGAAAACGATTCCTCCGAAATGTACATTGTGATACATAAAGCTACGCCATCTTGTATAACCCAGTGTTCCCGTACCCGACTGACGTCTCCTCTCGCCACCTTCGTTCAGGTGGAGGAGCGTCGCCGTCAGCTGGACCAGCAGGAGTCGGAGCGGCGAGCCGTTATCATGAGGCGCAACGAGGAGCGCGAGGCGATGCTGGAGACTCGCCGGCGGCACACCAATAGTCAGATCCTGCTGGGATTCGGCAGCTCCACGCCCAGATGGGAGGCAGAGCCGGACATGGGCAAACGGTAAGCGAGGGCAGAGCTGGCGTAGAGCGCTGGTGTAGTTCTGGCCTGGTCGTGTGCAAACGATGAGCCGCGTGGGAGTTAGCGGCGGGAAGGGCACTGGTGAAGGCACAGAGCTAAGAATGTTAGTGTGATAGGAGCCGTGGTTATACGAGCGGAACTTTGCGCCAAAAACATTAATTTACCAGCTCGTTTTAGGCTGACGGTGGTTAACGGTGATGCCTCTGAAATTATATCACGAGATCCTGAGGGATAATGTATCCACGGGCAACTAATGGCTATGTAAGAGCACTGTAAGCTCACTTAATAATTCGTGCCTCTTTGATGTTGTGATACCTCAGCTTATTCAGATCATGTTGCCTATCCTTGCAGTTGTCCGTGGTACGCATTTCGTCAGACTGATGAACTGCACTATGATGGTCTATGTGCTCTCCAGTCAGCTGCTTATCCGGCTGCTTCCTTGCTAGCTAGCTATTCTGCCGTCCAAAGGCAAAACCCATTATGTTACATTGACCTGTGACCTAACATAATGGTTTTTGCCACTGGACGGATTGTGCTACTGGAATGCCCTGAGCAGTACCCACTCACCGTTCGTCTGTATCCGTACCGCGTTAGACTGCTGATCTAACGCTGCGGTCTGTACCACCAGATCGACGTCTACCACCAACATCGACGGCGCGGGCGACGGTCGGAGGCCGCTGTCTGCCGCTCCCAGCGGCGGCGCTTCGACGCGACTGCGCGGCTCCGGTGAGTTTCCGGACACACGTCGGCAGATAGCGGGGGAAATGAGGGACGAGTTGGGACGCAGGACCGCGGAGACTTCTGCACTGCTGCTAGTTCGAGGACAGTCGGTTGGTATCAGATGTAAATTTCCAAAGCGAGATGGAAGTATTTACTTCTAAGGATATTATGTGTAGCATTTTGTCTTGGTTTGCGGCACGTTGTCGCACTTCCATAATTACTAACTGTGCCGGCAGAAGTCTCCGCGGTCGTGCGTTTTGTTCAGACGGCTGGGATCTCGTAGTAGTTTACTGTGTGAGAGTGCTGCACCGCACAGCTCACGGTGTTGGCCGAGCTGCATATACGAGTGGAGGGTCGGGGTGTCGCAGCTCTGTGAATAGCCCGGCGTCAGTAGTAGAGATCGCTTGCGCCGGTGTCGGTGGCCGCAGCTGAGTGTTGTAGGCTGGTAGACGTGGCGGGTTTGGCTGGGCACAGCCCGGCTGGTAGGCTTGGCGGGCTGGACTGGTCCCGGTTCGACACTGACCTCAGGTTTACAGGACAGATCGCCGGCCGGTGGCTACGGATGTCCCTCCAGCAGCAGGCATGAGTCGTGGACGTAACACGATCACCGCACTGTCACCACACCGTCACACGCGTCACGCGTCACTCACGCCGCACCACGTCACCGTGTGCCGCCGTTTCAGCACTGCGCGCCTCGAGCTCGATGCACCGAGTGTTTGAGTGGTCCGAGGCGCCGCGCGCCGCCCCCCGCTCCTCCCCCGGCCCTCGCCTCCGCACCTGGGAGTTTGGGGACGACTTTACGCCGGTGGGCCGGCCCGCCGGCGGCGATGTCACAGACGCTGGCCGCGCCCGCGACGGTGAGTCGGCGCGCTGACCCGAACTGACCCGACCTAGGGAGATCTTTGGTGGCTCCTGGTGACTGGAGGTGACCTCTGTCGACCCTGCATGTGACCTGCCCGTCCACCCCTTCGTTCGTCCGTTCGTTCGTCCGTCCCTTCGTCCGCTCGGGTGCTACGCATTTCCGTACACACCCGCACGATCTGTTGCGCGCTCAAGTCCGTCCTCGTCTGGCCTTCGACCCAGTGTCAACTGTGAGCAGGTGCTATTTTCTGCATTATGCGAGCAGCGACAATGAGTTGCAACGCTGCTGGGCTGAGAAGTATCTATCTTTCGTCCAGGCATGCTTATTGGTCGTGTTCTTTGTTTGAAGCGTTTTATAGACCTCTTGCGGCGTGTCTATGTCACTCACGGTGACTGCTTTACTGTGGAATTCAACAACAGTGTTCCATAGCGCATTCGTTTGCAGATTCGTCCATTGTGATCTGCTTCTGTGCTAAATTGAACTGAGTTGTACTACTGCTAGGCTAGCAAGCATGTGTAACATTCGATTGTCTTTTGTAAACAAGTCAGCATATTGTCCATGATCAGCCAAGAAACATGTCGTGCTAGCGCCCTTTCGACCCTTGCCTGGCCTTGGCTGCCTAGCAATGAGGGGACCCTAGCTCCCCTTGTCTGTCACTCGATCGTCCGTTCCGCCGACGCTTTGCCCGTTATTTTACTATTTATGGTTTCCTGGTCGGCGTTTTGTCCAGGCCTGCAGCTGAATTTGTCCGTGTGACTGGATATTTTTTGTCCATTGACGTTTGATTGGCATATTGATTGTCTCGTGCCTGAGGCATTTGCCATTATCGTTCGCTGCTGGTACAATCGGTCACACCATAATGCTATGGTTTAACTCTGAACGAAATGAGGGTCATAATTCGCCTTATTGAAGGTGTAGTATTTATTGCCTTCGCTTTGTCGAAGAAAGGTGCTTTATTATTCAAGATTATTCCGGACCGTAATTGCTGTTCATAGACCTAAGTCAAAGTTGACAAAAGAAATTCGTGTATCATTTGTTTATCCTTTCAAATCGATTCCTAGTTCCTACCTGTTAGTCCACCTCCTTAGCACTGACGTATATAATTGTGTATCTTATGCTGTATCATTACAACACAAAACTACCACTAGACGGTCCTCGGGAAACCAGCAAACGAAGAAGTAGCATCTTACATGTTCTCTACTTACATGCTTTTCCCTATCACAAAGCCCGATGTTTCTGTATCGATCTCCCTGTCATCCAACTCACTGTCCGGGAGTTTTGGTGGCACACTCAACGTTCTCACTCGAACTCACTATAATATGGTCTTTCTTACCGACCCAACTGGTATCTCACAAACTACCATATGCGATCTCACCAACTACCATGTACAGAAGAACTGACCTCGCTCATCTGTTGTTGTTTATCGCTGCAAAGGGAGAAGACGCCCAGCTTCGAGTATGATAAACCTTCGACCGAGTAAGCCAACGTTCGATGTTCACTGTAGCCGGAAACTGCACGCCCTTTGTCGGCTGCTTTTTTGTTTCGTACACATATCTTTCGATCAGTTCTTCATTCTAAATCGCTTTCAGCACTCCCGTGTGATATTGAAAAAAAACGTATGCCATAGATTTCACGGCTCGCTTTTTAAATTGTACTAGCGATGAGTTTCATAAATGCGGATTCAGTCTTACAGATAGCTGCGCGATAGTGTGGTTTGCGAGCCTTTCCATTTCACCAATTGTCACCACACAGCCTCGCGCACTGACTGCTCCGCGCGGCTCGCTCACTCGTTCCGCGCAGCTCGCTCACACTCGCGCCACCCGACGCTGGGGGGCACCGGTGACGGCGCTGTGCACCTTTCAGAGGAGTCTGCCGCGTCGTCGGCCCGTCGTCGCCGCTCGGACCTGACGCCTACCGTACCGGGCTCTGGCTCGTTCCGCGCCGCGCCGCCGCCGCCGCCGGCCCGCCGCCGGCCGCCAGGTAAAGCCGTCTCCATGACCCGGCTGGACCAGCTGTCGCGGCCGCGGCCGGCCGTCATGCAGCCTGTGCACGAGAGCTCGCCGCCGCCGGCCGCGGGCCGCACTGCCGCCGGCCCGTCGCCCGCCAAAAGCATGTCCAAGAGCATGTCGCACCTGGGTCCTCGGCGGCCGGTGCCGGCGCCGCGGCCCACGAAAACTGAGCAGCTGCGGCGCGCGGCGGCGGCTCGCGAGGGCCGCCAGCCGCCGCCGGCCGACACCGGTGAGTGAGGGAGGAGGACCGGGCGCCGGGCCCCTGAGGAAGACTGGGAGAGACGGACACGGACTGGGACAGACGGCGGCGCCGCCGGTCGCCGGCCGCTGCCTGTGACTGGACGGACGTGACGCTGACGCTGGATCCATATTCTGTCGACGTCTGTTAGGCCTGCCTCTTTTCTTACTTCTGCTGCTGTCCAGTGTCGACCAGAAAACAACAGACAGACAAAAACAGACAGACACGCAGACAAATACTGGTGGACAACTGACAATTTTCCTACAACTTGCGACTCTACACTGTCGACTACACTACGGCTACACTGTCTTCTATACGAAGCACTGCTTCCGACCGGTCCGATTCTATATCACGCATCTCTTCTACGCAAGGACAAGACTAATTTACGGACTTACGCTACACAGGGCTAGTCATAGACACTGTCGGTGGTTTCCAATATGACTCTTGACCCTCTCCGCTTCGAGACTCTTGTACTGTCAACTTCGACCTAGAGCTCTTCTGACGCAGACGGTTACGGATTCGGCACTTTGGACGCTGACAGCTACTGACTCGACATACGAGTAGACATGACTATTTTTTTTTTTTGTACCGTTTTGTTCTCTAGCATATTTAGGATGCACAAGTCCCAAGCGGTGGGGAGCGTTCGGACGCCCACGCACCCTTTGACCAGTGTTGACCAGAAACTCCCATCAGTCCCTACAATCTAGCTCTCGTAGTATCATGTCGCGTACCCATACGTTGTACATATGTTACAGACCGTATGAAAACCCAGTCCGTTTGCAAACGGCCTTGCCCAGTCAGGCCGTTTGAAAACGGCCTGAAAAAGCCGGCCGTTTGCAAACCGCCTGAAATATCAGGCCGTATGAAAACGGCCTAGGCAGTTTGAAACGGCCTAGACAGTTTGAAAACGGCCTAGTCAGTTTTCAAACGGTCTGGCGAAGTACAACAGCCTCTGAAGATTAAACTTAATGGATCCAGGTTGGTCGATGATCAGGTTGTATCCATATGAATGCTTGCGCATTCCATGCCAAATGACTCGTCTGCATACGTCGAACATTTTCTTACTGTGTTGATGCTCGGCCCGGCCGTTTTTCGGCAATATTACTAATAATACAAGTTCACGGTCCGCTTGTGTACGGCCATCCAGTTGATGGAGGCTGGTGAAGCCACTACTAGTGAGGTGAGTTCTGGTGAAACGTAGGTATCACTACAAGACTCACCGATTATTTTGCGGCATAAAACGCCGGAGCGCGCAATGGACATCAGAGTTCACATCAGTGGCGCGGGAACCGGGGAGGGGGGAGGGGGCTAGCGGGGCTGAGCCCCTCCAACTTTTCGGCTGGGAGGGGGGGGGGACTCGTAATGTATTTGAGCCCCCACCCCCCCCCCCCCCCAGCTGGAGGAATCGAAATCGGAAATCTACCAACATAATTTCATAGATTCATACATAGGCGCGGGAACCGGGGGAGGGGGCAGTGGGGGAAGCTTGCTCCCACAGCTCTGGGGCCGTTGGGGCGGTGCCCCACAACTTTTCATGAGGTCAGGAACCGTTGGGGCAGCTTATCCTCCCCAAATTAGGGGTTGTGGGTCACAAAGGAAGAAAGCATGTAAGTGAAAAATCCACCTCTTCCACTGGCTCGGCAACTCATTTGGCAGATTAAAACCTTTATTCGAGGCTGCCAAAACGGTAGATTCTTCACTCAACTGAGATGGAATACCTGACTTTTTTGCAAATATTTTCGTTTTTTTTTTTTTGTTGAAAAGGCCAAGGTCTGAAAAATAAGTGGCCTAAAACCGGTAAGAAAGCTAGATTTGGGGGTACCCTAGGCTGCTCTCTATTATGGTTCAGCCCCCCCCCCCCCCAGTCTAGAAGAAGTTCCCGCGCCACACTGGTTCACATTAGGGTCCTCACCGCGCCCGGTCGACCGCCGGCGGCTGGCCGGTGGCGTACGCCGGCAATACATACTTGACCATTGCGGTGGAAGGCGAAACTTTGAAGTCGGGGGAAGCCCAGGTCGACCGGGCGCTCTACGGGCCGGGTCTCAGTTCTGCTTATCTCTTCCTGACCAGGCCTGCATTCGTCATCGGGAAAATCAGGGAGAATTTTCCGGAACTAGCGAGAATCATCGGGGATCACGAACGGTATCGCGACAACGAGACATGCTGAAGATAAGCGCTCAACAATAATTTTCCGACGGAGAATATCCGAGTGACAATATGTTTCCGGATGCCGAATGCACCTCAGGATTTCATGGTGCCATGTAATGTCATGAAACGGTTGCACTTCAACAAACTCAACATTGTCCAGCAGTACCTTTATGCAGACCAGATTGTTTTCAAAATGCCTAGACCGTTTGCAAACGGCCTGGTGTCTGGAAAGTTGTCATACGGCCTAGACGGTTTGCAAACGGCCTGAAATTTCAGGCGGTTTGTATACAGCCTGGAATTTCAGCCCGTATTCAAACGGCCTGACTTTTCAGTCCGTTTGCATACTGACTGGGCTGTCCAGGCCGTTTGCACGGACTGAGTTTTCATACGGCCTGTAACACATACATGCAGTCAGCCCCGCGGGTGCTGGCTCGTTCCCCTACCCTGTATATCGTGGCTCTGGCGGTGGAGTTCAGTCCGACGGTACCAAAGGTAACTTTGTGGGCCTGATGCTAGTGGCATGCTGCATTGATGCTGCATTTTGCTACTGTGCATGCGTGGTGACTTGCCTGCTGCCAGGGTTATGCCAGTGTTACCAGATGCCTGTTGTTATGTTTTGCTGATAACAGTATACTAGATAATTTGCAAATGCATCTTAGCACTTCTCACAGTGCACAACCGAAGCATGGATAGAAGATAATATGTGTTGAGTGCATATTTGCTGTGATGTTTTTAACCCTAGGCATCTTCGTACTAATGGCCATTAAGATATATGTGACATTCGTAGTGGTAGTTGGGTATGTTGACTACGTTGACTACGTGTGAAGAGAGAATGCTACGTGTGCAGTGCACTGGTTGAAACATAATTGTGTTTGCTTGTTTGTTTGTCAAATGCTCACATCAGTGTCATTTAGCCATCGAAATGTTCCTATTTTGGTGGTGGTGGACTTTCATTTCTAGTGTGCAGATCTTAGCTATTCGTTGGCAGTACTTAAGTCAGACATGGGCTAGTTTCTACGTGATCTATTTAGTGAGTAGTGATACGATATAATTATGTCCTAGTAATCTTGGGTGATACTTTGGTTGGTGGTGGTCTAAGTTAATTGGTTTTTACCTGTGTCTTTCTTCTACGAAAGCTATTTTTAGCCAGCGTGGTTGAGATTTACCCAGTATGTCACTTATAGTTCATCGTTTCACAGCCGTGTTATTTGTCTCTCATATGACCTCACCTGCTACCATGAATGCTACTTTCACAGGTCGCTGCGCTGCAATTGAAGCAGCGACCGAGCAGCTATGACCGTTGTCCATACCTTCTCCCACGCTCCCACTAACCATCTTATTAGCCCGCCATTTCCCTGCGCCATCCGCCCGCAGGCGCTGTCGGTGAAGCAGCCTCCTCCCTTAGCCCTGTTCACACCGTGCCAGCGTTTTCCGACAGTCTCCCCACCTTTAACCCCCCGGCGTCTCCGCCCTCTCTAACCGCCGCCCCCCGGCAGGTGCCAACGGCGGCCTCGTCACCCTGAAACCCCGGTAATCTCCCCACCCTTAACCTCTCGGTGTCTCCGCCCTCTCTGACCGCCGACCCCCGACAGGTGCCAGCGGCGGCCTCGTCACACTGATCCCCCCGGTGTCGCCGCTCTCTCTGACCTCCGTCCGCCGGCAGGTGCCAGCGGCGCGGCCACGCCCACCTCCCCGTCGAGGCCGACCTCGTCCCTGTCCCAGCACAGCGGCGCGCCGGCCAGCGGTCCGCCGCTGCGCGCGCGCGCCTCACCGCGCCGACAGAGGCCAGTCAGCATCGCCGGGATCCCGGCCCGGCCGGCCACCGCCGACGCCGCCACCAAACAGACGGACGGTGGGTGATGGGGGAATTGTAGGGGATTCAGGGTCTGCTGGCTGCTGAGGTCAATGTCTATTGTCTACCCATCCAAGAAGGGCGGGTGGGTGTTACGAGTAGGTATCGGGCAGGGGTTGAGTCATAACTAGGATGGGACTGTGATGTAGTAGGTTGGTGGTAGGATTGTCGAGTTCATGTCCGTCTGAGCCTTGTCTTTGTCCCTTGAGGTCAAGTGTTTCTTGCATGTTCAATGTTTACGGTAGCAAGAACATTGATATGACGTGTCGATGAATACTTGACATAAGATTCCAAGTAGACAGCTACTATCGTGTTCATGATAGGTAGCACCTTTGTTGCTTTGTTAGGGTTCAACTCTTCATGCCGTCTACTACCTATCAGAGCCCTAGATATCACTGTAACCATGTGGGTACTCTGACTCACCCTTTATTCACTCTTTACTCCGCCGTGACCTGACCTGGGGCGCTCCACAGCGGCCCGTACGCCCACCGGGCCCCCCGGTGCTGCCGGTACCGGCCGCCGCTCGCTGTCCACCCAGGCACGGCCGTCTCCCGCAGCCCCGGCCAGGAGGACGCCCAAGGATGTCAAGGCTGAGGATGCCAAAAAGAAGGTGAGAGGGCTGGACGGTCGAGAGAGGGTAGAGATAGCAGCTGTGACGGCAGGCAGGGCTAATTGTGTTTCGTTGCTCGTCTGAGGTAACGACTGACGTTACCTCAGACTTTGTCCGTTGCTCGTCTGACGTGTGCTAGAACAATAGCGTGACATTGTTAAAATTTCGTATGAGCACTTACTGGAAATCATCTAGTACCTGTGACCTGCTTGTCTATTTCCTAGCCTATTTCCGGTCAGCTAGGGTGTTCTTTATTGCCACTGTTTTTGACAGTTATCATTGACAGCATGTTTGTGTGATTTGTCTGTAACTGGTACCTATTTGCTTGTTTTTTTTGCGGGTGTTGACGCGCATCCGTCGTTTCGTTCGCCAGAAGCTGCGCTCCAAGTCGAACACCCCGCAGCCGTCTCCCTCAGTGGAGGTGGCGCCGCCTGTTCCCGAGGAGCCGCCCGCCCAGTCGAACGGAGAGCCGGCCGGCACGGAGGGCCAGAAAGACACCCCGCAGGCCCCGTCAGAGCCCGCCAAGGAGGCGGCTGAACAGACGGCGCCGGAGGTTAAGACCGAGCCCGCGCCTGAGCCGGTGGAGGAGGGGAAGCCAGAGGTGGTCCCTGCGGCCGCAGAGGCTGAGGGGACGGAGGTGAAGGCGGAGTCTGGTGAGGCAGAGAAGCCAGTGGTGGCCGCTGAGGAGCCACAGACGGCTCCGGCCGATACGGTGGCCCCCGCTACCGCTGTGGAGAACGGCGAGACTCAGCAGACTGAGGAGACCGCTCCAGCCGAGCCGTCTTCCGCCCCTGCTGTCTCCGCGGTGAACGGGGAGACTGAGGTGACAACAGAACACCCGACGGCCGACGCTCCAGACTCGGCCGTCCAGCCGGCCCCGGCAGAGAGCTTCGACTCCCAGCCCGCGGAGAAGCCCGCTGAGGCGCCCCAGGTCCCCGAGGCCACTGTGACACCGCCTACTCCTGTGGCCACGGCCGCTCCGGCAGACGCAAAGGCAGCGTCCCCGCCACCGGCCAAAAAGGCCGCCCCGGCGACGCCGGCCAAGAAGTCGGTGTCGCCACCACCGACCGAGGCCAGTCAGGAAACGCCTGGTGAGTGGCTCACTGCGGGATAAGGATCCAATAGAGGTGTTAGCGCAACAGTGTAGCGCTTAGGTTAGTTGGGCGACGTGACCACCGATTCGAGTCACTGCGCTCGTTAGGTGTTACCCTCAATATTTTTGCGCGTCTTTTCCAATACAGCCGCCACTTCTAATATCAGAACCAAGCAGAGACTGACCTTTTTTCTGAGTTCGTCCGACGTGGACGATCTGCGCGCCTTGTTCGACTGGCGGTACCCTCGCCCTCACCCCACCCCCTGCTTTGACCGGCAGAGAGCGCGGCCGGCCGTCGTCAGGCGGGCTACACCAGCGAGGCAGCCGCCCGGGCGGCGCTGGCCGAAAAGCGGCGCAAAGCGCGCGAGGAGGCCGAGCGTCAGGCCGAACTGGAGCGGCTGCAGCGCGAGGAGCAGGAGCGCCAGGAGCAGGAGCGCGCCCGGCAGGAGGAGGAGCGCGCCCGCCAGGAGGAGCAGGAGATGATGCGGCTCATCGAGGAGGCCAAGAAGGCGGAGCAGGAGCGGCTGCAGCGCGCCATTGAGGTTGGTAGAGTGCCCAACGACCGGCACACTGAGACGGATTATATACTGCGGTGGTATATTATCCAAACTTTATATATTTTGGCTCTAAAGCATACCTCAGCTCGTCGTCTTTACACTGATGCATTCATTTTGCGCTTCCGCTGCCAATAATGAAGTTTTTGGGTGAAGTCAGTTGTCGTTCCTTCCATTCGATGATCGTCCAACCGCATGGTCATATCCTATCCATTCGAACAATCAATACACGGCGTAGTAAGTACTAAGTACGTGGTAAATAACAGTAAGTAGTAAGTACGGCGTGTAAACCTCTCCCCTCACCCCCAGATGGCCGAGCAGGAGCGTCAGGAGGAGGCACGCCGCCGCGAGCAGGAGGAGCAGCAGCGCATCCAGCGCGAGGCGGAGGAGGCGCGCGCCCGACAGGAGGCCGAGGAGGCCCGCCGGGCCGCCGCCGAAAAACTGGAGCGCGAGGAGGCCGAGCGGAAGAAGCGCCGCTCGCGCGTGGCCGAGATCATGAGCCGTACGCGTGGCGCCAGCACACCCACTAAGGTACGTGTATGGAGCAGTGGAGTAGTTGATAGTCTGAGAGAGAATGGTGGAGTGTTCGAGAAAAGTTATTTACCTGTAATGTGGGGTGATTCGGTGATTGGGTAGGCGTCTTCCGCTCGTCTTTCTTATGGTTTTCGTCGTTTTGGACCCAATGAAAGGGTGTATTGCATGACCTGTATGTCAGTTGTGGCTGCCCCGTCCATGAATATACCCACAAAGTTGTTCTTCGTAAAGGAACCTCCCGGTCATTTCTGTCTTCCTATTCAAGTGTCATTCTCCCAGCAAGCTGATGTCATTGTGTACTGAAGCGGTCTACTCCACAGTCTACAGTCTTCGGGTGTCTGCCTGACCGTCTCCAAGTATCTTCCTGACCGTCCCTTGTCTCTCTGACCGTCTCCGGGTATCTCCGTGATATGTCCCCATGTCTCCGGTATCTGCATGACTGTCCTCATGTCTCTGTGTGTCTCCCTGACCGTCCCCCGTCTCCGGGTGTCTCGGGTCGTCTCCCTGGCCTCCCCGTGTCTCCGCGTGTCGCCCTGATCGTGCCCGCTCCAGGTGTGTCCGACTGTCTCCCTGACCGTTCGGGTGTCTCCCTGACTTTCCCGGTGTCTCCGCGTGTCGCCCTGACCGTGCCCGCTCCGGCAGGCTGAAGAGGCCGCAGGGCTGACCCAGGTAGGTCCCCCTCCGTGGCCGGTCTGAACACCTGGGAGTGTCACGGAAGGTCGCTAACTCGTGGGGGCATGTGTGCGCGTCTGCGGTGGTCTTTGGTCACGGTAGAGGCTTGGAGGTTGTACCCTGCAGTTCAGTTGGCGAGGTCTGGCTTCAGTCGGTGGCTATTTTGTTTGTCCTGGGCTTCATTCTTTGGCTTTTGGAAGTATGTTGGCAACGGTAAGCTTCCAACTCTGTTTTACAATGGTTTAAATGCTTTGGAGGTCATATGCTTCCATCTCCGTTTTTTTAACAAAGGCCGAAACGTATCATTGAAATGCTAGGACTGCTATCGTATTTTAAACACAAAACTCGTTTGGTCCCAGTCAATAAGGTTTAGTGTCTCCTGTTCGACGGTTTTCTATTTCGAAAAGTGTTCGCGTGTATTCGTCAATAAGACAAATGCGGCTGGCATCAGTTTCATGATTTCTAAACGGCATTTGCTGGCTCTTCGAAGGTTTATTTCCATAGTTGCCTGCAGTACTTCAAGCCTCTGGAACCGGTCTGCATGCTTGTTGTGTAGGCACTAGATAATGCCCCGGACACTATCGCAATTCGCATCCTCCTGTGATTTTAGATGACTGGAGGTCGGTTGCACTTGGCGTCTCAAACTCCGCATCCGGCATCACACCAACCTAACCTTAGCGTTGTAACGGGTCTATCTAACTCGGTGTAGACTAGGTTGTCATACGATTGTTAGTGGAGGCGTATGTATGTTTATTTAATGGCTTGGTATTCATCTGGTATTTCATTTACGGCAGCTTGCTTACGGCATGTTTTGGGCGATGAATAGCTAGTTATTTCCCCGGGAAAACACTCACATCCAGGACCGAAGTATGGAAACTAATGCTCCAATTAAGCGCTTACCGAGGCTGGTGTCAGCTGATGGCACTCACATTTGCAGGCGCTCACTCCAATCTTCGTCATTTTGTCATGTGTTGTCTCGTATTTCGTGAACGGTGATGGCTTCTGCTGGTGTTTGCTTGCCTGGTGGATACCTGCTGGTGTCATGCTTTGATTACAGCTATGTCAAGTCTTTTTTGTGATGAACCTTTTAACTTCAGGATTTTTCTTTTTAGTTAACGTTTGGAGCTGGAAATGTGTTTCACCCGCTACGTTCTAGTTCAGTGCGAGTTGATTCAATCCGTGACCTGTTAGCCCGTATCCCAGCGGTCTGACTGTCCCTCCCTCCGCAGACCACCTCTGTGACGGACCTGAAGGCGATGAACTCCCCGGCCTCGGCGCCGGCCGACCGCACTGTCTCGGTGATGGACCTGAACGCCATGAACGCCGCGCAGAGCGCGCAGCCGCCGCCGGCCGACCTGTCGGCGTCCGTCTCCGACCTGAGCGTCATCAGCGCCGACGCGCCGGCCGCCGCCCCCGCCCCCGCCCCCGCGCCCGCCCCCGCCGCGCCCGCCGCGCCGGCGGCCGACCAGCCGGAGCCCATGTCGACCGACTCCAGTCCTCTGCCGGCCAGTCCGGTGCACTCGAACGGAGCGGGCACGACCAACGGCCAGGCGCCGGCGGTGGATCCGCCCGGACGCGCCGACAGCGGCGTCACCAGCGGAGAGTTCGGGTCAGTGGCCGAGAGAGGAGAGATGTTGTGGAGCGGGAATTCGGGCGGGCGTCGGGCTCCAGCCGAGGGGGACAAGGGAGGGGCGACTGAGTGCTGGAACTGCTCGACGGGGTGCTGATGAGAAGCAGCGATGGGTGGAATACTGGCAAGGGAACAGAATTGAGGTGGATGGGACACTTGAGCTGAACAGGGAGGAAACAGATTTGATGGGGCCTAGAGTGATTATCTGAGCCAAGAGAGACAGCGTAGACGGTGTGCAGCTGAAATGGAACACTATCTGAGAGGTACAACACACGGGTGGAATAGTATCCGTTGGCGAGGCGATTGCTCTGGGATGCCCAGACTTACCCTACTTGTGTTTTTGGATGGTTTAGTCATGTTGCTGGAATCTGGCAGCTTCTCTCACGAAGGTCGCGTAAAGATGTCCGATTTTCCATCTCTATCGTGACTAACCGACCTCGGTTCTCCGGTCTCCAGGTCCAGTCTGTCGTCGCTGGACCCGCTCAGCCTCAAGTCGACGTCGACGGTCAGCAACGACAACGACTCGTTGAACTCGAACGTGTCCGAGTCGACCCCGACGCCTTCGCTGACGTCTGTACCGGCGGCGGCGACGGAGGCCGAGCCGTGCCGGCCAGCACCGCAGATCGCCGGTCAGTGAGGGCATAACTTCAGGAAATGGGCGATGTTGGACGGTTAGGTGGACGGGGGGCTCATGGGAGCGGTGATTGCGCACCGTCTTGAACCGAATATCTGAACTCAGTCTCCCCGTCTCTCCGAGCCGGGCGACGGACGAGCTAGCTCGTGGGAGTAATTAAAGAGTTGAAGTGAGCCTGTCTTTACATGCGATGGCTTTAGCGTTTGGAGATCTTCCATGCTGAGTCCGCTGTTTGTACTAGCTACGTTTAAATTTCTGTCCCCACGTCGGATGTGTTGAACTCTCTCGCTGTCCCTTTGTCTGATACGGTCCTCTGTTCCTGTATTTGACGTGGTCCCCTATCCCTGTGTCTGCTGTCTGACACCGCCACCTAGTTTCCCTACCCGTGTCCGATACCCTCCCTGTCCCTTTGTCCGGAACGCGGTCTTCTGTTCCCGTCTGAATGTATGTCTGACTCCCCCTGCCATTATGTCTGATACCCTGTGACTGACGCGTCCCCCCACCCCCGTGCGTTTCAGATCTGCTCCAGATGTAGACGGTGCGAGTGTGTCTGTGTGCTCTGGGAGGACGGTGTGAGCGGCTGTGCGCCCGTGTTGGTGTGTATGTGCGTGTGTCAGAGACAAGTGTTACGCTGTGACCGGTCGGTGAGCCGGCCGGGGCAATAGTGATATCGGCGGGCGGACTGACCCGCGCCGACAGACCGGCGGACAGCCCGTGCGCGCCGCCCCGGTGTGCCCGGGGTACTAATACGAGTATGTGAGCCGACAGCAGGTCTTGGACGCCCGTTTTAGCTGTATCACACACTAAGTCGAGCGCGCTCGCTCGCGCCTGTATACACTCTGTATTAGCCTGCCAGCGGCGGGGTGTTACCCGTTCCTAACACTCGCCGCGCTGCTGCTGTTGGAAGTATTCCTTAACACGTTTTCGGGGAGCGGTGCGGCCGTGGGCTGCTGGTTGACGTTTGCCGCAGACTGCGGCCGAGAAGGGGTCGCCCTGTGTGGGGCGGCCACGCCAGCCGGAGGGGCTACCGTGCACCCGCCGGCGACGGCGGGGGAGAGTTGTTCGGCAGTTCAGTCATATTCCCCGCGAGAAGAGTTTATTTTGCGGCGTTCGACTGTAAAATAAACGCCGCAGCGATGTAATCTATTTCGGCGTGTTCGTGTTGGTGCGTCGCGCCGCCCGCTCGGCCAGCCGTGTCGGGCGGCGCACGGCGAATGGACGGGTGCTGAAATATAAACTCGATACTATGCGTCCGAGTCGACACTTCAACGTCAACTGGGCGATAGTCCTGGCGTCCGGCGATACTGGTTGTAGATGGGATGACATGGGGGTGATCAAACACTTGATTGCTGTATTGAAGGCATCCATGCCGCATCACAGGCAAATGTCAAAATACGATAATGCACTCGTGATATTGACTATTGACTATATTGACTCGTGATATGACTATTAATAGCTTCTAAAGCATTTGATATGATGTTGGCTTACACCTGACTAGATAGTTCGTAGTCCTAAGGCCAGTTTTACCAACAGAAAAATAGCCGCCTGCCGGAATTTTGCCCAAAGACCGCTTCACATACGATGGGCATGTAAGCGGATAGGGCTTTACTGTTTACGCTCTGTATGTGAAGCATTCCTTAGGCAAAAAATTCCGGCAGGCGGCTATTTTTCTGTTGGTAAAACTGACCTCTGAGCTCTATTATTGCGACACGAACGAATAACATCCAGTGCACACAAGCCAGAAAATATTTCTACAACACCACACTATCACAAACCCATCCAGTCTCCAAACGACTCCAGGCAAAAGTGCGGTAGTCCCCTGCTGATACAATGCAAGATTTACAGACGAAAAAATAAAAACGAGTATCGCAACACACATGACGCCTGGGACAGGCGCTCGCCCCTCCATCCAATGGTCCCTGACCCTCCCTGGTGACGATTCACTGGCCGCAGAATTCCGTGGGGTCTTAGACTTAGTGAGCCGTGACCAACGGTCGCTGACCCATCGATTGCCGCTCAACCTCAGCAGACACCCAGTCAGCCGGGGCCGGGCGCGCCGCTCAGCCAGGACCCTGCGCTCCAATCAGTCTCAGCAGACACCCGGTCAGCAGCAGGAGCCCCGTCGGCGGCAGGCGGAGCTCGGCCGCGCCCGTGGAGGCGGCAGGAGCCACGGCCACCTCCTCCGCTCGGGAGATGAACCGGTACCGGGCCTCGAACCCCGTGGCCTCGAACTGACCGTTTGAGTGAAACGTCAGTCTGTGGGAGAGTAGTACCCGAGTCAGTGGTTGGCAGATTCAGCTTTCGTCCGAAGAGCTGTCATCTCTCCTGAGATGCCAGGGAGTGCCGGATCCCGACTGAACCCACCACAGGGCTTCAGCAGTCAGTTGGTGTGAGTGTTCAGTGTTGAGGGGCGGAAGTAACCACTACTATCTCGTAACGCGAGGGACTGAGACACCCGGGTATCTGCAGACAAGGGCACGACACTTGTGACGAAATCTGTGCAGGAAATCACAATCTTTCTAGTAGAGGTTTATTTGTCATTGGGTCTACAGTGCAGGGATATTTCATCTCGCACTCCTCTGAGATGCAAAGATAAGAATTTGTTATCTCTGCATCCCTCTGAGATGCGAAGATAAGGTCTCGAGGGTTCATAGCTAAAAATCAAGAGTTCAAGTGATGATGGGTCAATAAGCGAACCATTTTTAACGGTTATTTGTGTATGAAGCTTATGAAATAAATACAAAATACTCTAAATCTATTTTTACATAGATGAATACATTTGAATATGATATTTAAATAAGTGAGAATAAACCTCAACATAGAAAGATATAGGATTCCTCATGGCTCACTCGTGGAAGATCGGATATCTTTTCCTCGCGTGTTACAGAAAAACCTCGCTCCTTCGTCGCTCGGTTTTTCAGTAACCCGCTTGGAAAAGATATCCTTATCTTCCACTCGGAGCCATGAAGAATCCTCTATTTCTGGAGCCTCGGAACTCGACGGCAGAACGCAACGGGGTCTACAAACAGCGCCACTTGGACTCTACACACAACGGTACGCACTGTTATCAGCGGTGTAAATTAGAGTTGCAAAGTTTTCCCAATGGGCTGCTACCGGCACCGCCCCGCCCCACAAACATTTTCTGGGATACCGGCATGCTACCACGCCCCCAGCAAAAAACCGCCAAATTACCGGCATACTAAAAAACCTGCATTCTTGATTCTGGCTTACCCCTACATGAGATGCCACATTTTGGCAATTTCAGTAACCGCCCCACCCAGCAGCCACCCATTGTCCAACTTATTACAATTCAATAGCCTCTTAGTGTCCAAAGTTTGAATCATATGCTGATAATTTTTTGTGCAAAATCAAAAATACCGGCATGCTACCGGCAAGACATGCCAGATACCACGAAAAAAAACCTGCGGTAGTGAAAAATTACCGGCATGCCGGTAGTGCGGTAGGGAAATTTTGCAACTCTAGTGTAAATGCTTGGCGGTCAGTATTATCCATCCATCGCTCAGCGTTGCTCACCTCAGATGGCCGGTGTCAGCGATGAGCGGGTTGGGTGGCGCCGTGTCCCCACAGTACCGCTCCGGCGGCCCGTGCCCGGCGCCCTGGTAATCCAGACCGTCCACGGGGGACCGATCGCCGGAGTCCACCTCCAGATAGTCAGAGGACGAGCCGAGCCGGCAACTGGGGAAAACGGCACGCACTGACATAGCTAGACAGGTTAGTTTACACACATGAAACTCGGTAAATTACTTACGCGAACTTCGTTAAACCTCGTGAACCTCTCTTGAACCTCCTCCAAGCCACCCTAATACAAACACTGGTCCACTGTGCAAGATGAAAAGTTCACAATCAATAAAATAGACAAATACACACTGACTCACGGGTAGATGCCCTCCACATCGAAGTAGCCGAACTGCACCAGAACGGTCTCGTTGGCGCCTCCGATAAAGTAGAAGTGGCAGTCCGTGTTACCGGGATAGTAGCCTGGCGCGTTTGGCGTCCGGAAGGTTCCCTCCCTCAGCATGCTGCTCCGGAACTCGAAGGCACAAGAACTGGTCGGCAGCTGGACGCCGGTGGTGAGTCCGTAATCTGAAACAAAACGCTAGAAGTAATCAATAACCTAAGTCGTCAAAGGAATGATTTATTTCTATCTAATTACAAAGTGGTTGCAATACAGCATTGCTCGATGTTTCGCTGGTGGGTGGACGCGGTAATCTATGTGCTAAAAACAGGCAGACACCCTCCACCGGAGCAGCTCCCGCACCTCTGACAAACCGGTAGGTGGCTCTGAAGCCGGTTGGTCCGGTTGGTCCCGCGCCGGTGGCGCCGCCCGTGGCGAACAGTAGAAGCAGCCGGTGGTCAGGGGACATAACTCGAGCTGGCTGGCCGGAGCCGCAGAGTCGACGGAGCAGCCTGAGTCGGCCGGCCGACAGACCGAGAACGGTCACCGAGTCGGCGCCGCGACACCTGGGGGCGGCAGAGGGTCAGGACAGGCGAAACGCTGCGCCATAGTCCAATTAGTCATGCCTGCAAACGTCCGGCAAATAGATGTTCGCCTGAAGAGCTAAGGAGCCACTGTAGGCTCACAATAGAAACATGCTTATCAGCATTTATGCCGCCGAAGTGGGCAAGGCCATGTAAGTGCCTTGTGTCATTATTTACGACCAATCTTCGTATCCCGGACGTATATCGATGACATATTGAACTTGGGCTGCAGCATTTCAAGTACTGGAGCGTCAGCGTACCTACCCTTTTACATGTGAAAACAATGCGCAAAACAGTTTTTTTTAGGGCTATAGATGACTTACGTTTTGAGCGTTGTGTTTTTCCTCAGGTCGAAGTGTTCGAAGTGAAGGATAACTCTATCGTTACCGTTTCCCTGGAATTCGTACCTGGAAGAAGAACACGTTATTGTGCTTATTTGCGCTGCATACTGATCACTATTCACTGCAATCACCGATTGTTGCAACATGGGGGCTTATCTCCCATGGTTTTGACCAAGTGACCTGGGACTGGCCTTCAATTGTATGGGCTGGCATCTGCACAATCCGGTTCCGCGGAACTGGTTTTTACTACGGCCGCAATCCGAAACCGGACGTAGCTAGGTGGTCGGAGGCTGCACTGGGCATCGTTAGACACGAAAACATCTAAAAACATGTTTTACCGCAAATTTCAGCGAAGTCTCAATGACTTGGGAGTCGAAGAATGAAATGGGACGGAAGATGTGGTCAATAGTCACATAGAGATCTTATATACACGAAATCAAGTGAAACGAAACGAAATCGCCACGAAATCAAGTGCTTTAACCCGGCGGCCGCTGGGCCTCCGCGCCACCCGCCGGCCGCTGGGGGGGGGGGGGCATAAAGTTGCCCCCCCTTTACTTCTGCGACGATATCGTCGCAACGCGAAGAGATAGAGAAGCGAAACTTTGCACACATCTTCCTGAATACCTAGCCGAGGTTGTGTCCAAATTTGGTGTCGATCCCATTTGAAATGACGTCACAGTGACGTCATAAGTGAAATTATAGATTTGCGACTCTCATATTCCTCACGATACAGCACATATATGGAACCGAATATAAAGGGCCGATTATTGGTCAGAAACTAGATGGAAGTGTAGTAAGATGTTTTAGGATGACAGCAGGTGCTGTCTAGTTCATTTACAGTCGAGTTTCATGCTCAGCGTCATCAGAAACGGTCCATATCGGAAAACGACAAAACTTTATGACGTCACTGTGACGTCATCTTAGGTGCTACAACCACCAAACTTTCCTCAAACATTGCCTAGGTATTCATTTGAAGCTATGCCAAGTTTCACGTTCGTAGCTCATCAGGTTTCGGAGATATTTCACAAAACGTAAAGGGGGGGCAACTTTATGCCCCCCCCCCCCCAGCGGCTCGTGGGTTAACATATGCGTGTCATCTCTATGTATATAAGATCTCTATGAATAGTCATCACTACCCAAGTTGCGTTGTTGGATATAATTACTAAGTTATAATATTGTTTCGCGACTGCTCTACAGTCGACGGTCAAACCGATCTCGGGCCCCTGAGGCCCCCTGCTCACGCGGCGGCCCGGAGCCTCTCCTTCCGACGGTCCGGGCCCCTCCCCGGCGCCCCGGCCCCTCCTAGCTCCTCCCCGGTAGCCCCGGCGCCAGTGCGGTGCCCACCTGCAGAGGATATTAGCCGGGTAGGTCAGCGGGTGGCCGGGACTGGACACCTCGCCGGACCTCGTGTCGCCAGACAGCACCATCTGGTGGCAGCTGAGCTCTGCGGGAGACAGAGAACAAGGTCACACGGTGCCGGCCGATCACCGGTCGGCAGCACACGGCGACACTCGGACATAAAACGTCTTTAAAGGGAGATAATGAGCTTTCTTTTTTCTTAAATAAAAATTACTCGACATCTATACTATTTCTACTGTAGTTTCTATAAAATATGAAAAATTCCTAGCACATTTTCGTATGTGAAAAAGGTTTTTATTTTTGCAAAAAAGAAGCAGTACTTGCAGTACTTGTAACACCCACCGAAATGCGTTGTCCTTCTCTATAAAAAGTCGCAGTATATGGCGCTTTTGTTTCAAACAGCGACGCTTGGGTTTTTGTTTATGTTATCGCCTTGTCGTTGCTTGGTTGTAAGGATTCTAATTTGAATTAGAGTTAATTCGGTTTAGAATTAATTAGATTCTAATTCGGGGGTACATAGTGCCTACTCTTCTTTGTTTCCAAGTAATATTTTGCGCCACAAATGAACGGCATGCGCCAGAAACGCAGCCAAATCTTGCGATTGCGACTACGAAATTCATTATTTTGGCGTCAGAGCCTGAAGCGAAAAATACAAGCATATTTATTTCAAAAAGACTTCAGGTTTGTCGAACGGTGTTATGATAATTTTGATAACAGTACTGCATAAGTTTTTCAGTGATGCCGCAAAAGTGTTGTATCTATCTTCTTTTATTGTGCAGTCGGCGGGACCGATTCAAAATTGAGTCGTTGCTACTAAAATAGCAGCATATGGCGTCAGATGATGAACAGGAAAAATAGTTGCGTAAATTTAGACATAAACCACCCCCAAACCATGAATATCTTTTGAAGGCACTATAGACGACCATTAACTAACTAGAAGTCATGAAGATCAAATGTAAGGAATACGCTCATTTTACAAAATTACATGCAAGTACCAAAAAGTGATGTAAGTACTTATTCAACGGTCATTTTCAGCGCTCCCCGCTAACGTGACTTCAAGTTGAGATATTTGCGGCAAGGTACCGAATTGAGCAAAATGGTTTTAATTTACATTATAACTTGTTGTGTTTTGTCAGAAAATGGTCCTAACTTAGATTTTGTGAAAAAAGGTCATTATCTCCCTTTAAAAGGCGCCCAGCGGCGTCTGAACGGGCTATTTATTGTGAGAAACCTCTTCAAATCACCGAGGATGTGGGGCAAGTGGGTGCAGACGCTGAAATGTTCTTCAATTAAATGCAACTACGCAACTCGTAGAACGCCGACCTTAATTATCCCTTGATGACTGATCGCTATACAAAACTAAAGTGATGGTTTGCAGGCTAATGGGATTCTAAGCTTGTCGCCTGTGAGCCTCTGCATATCCGGTCACTGGTATTACAACCAATGACCTGTGGTGAACAAGCAAACAGCCCCAGGCAGGGTGTGCGCCCTTCGCCTCGTAAGTAATCCACGCACGTGACGCTGCAGATTTGGTCTCTGGTCAGCCTCTCAGCATGTGGGCATTGAGTGCACTGCGCAATGCGCGCAGTCCATACCGCTTATTCAAACAGACCCGCGCAGAAAACGCTGCTGTGACACTTGACTGTTACTTTAGTCGAGCGCAGGGGCGCGGGAACTATACTTTCCGACTGGGGGGGGGGGGGGCACACCATAATAGAGGTCAACCTAGGGTATCCCCAAATCTAGTTTTCTCACCGGTTTTAGGCCACTTATTTTTCACCCCTCGGCTTTTTTTTAACAAAAAAGAAAACATTTGCAAAAAAAGTGTGGTATTCCGTCTCAAAGCTGTGGGGGCACCGCCCCCACGGGTGGGGGCCCCAGAGTTGGGGGGGCAAGGTGCCCCCACTGCCCCCCCCCCCCCCCACCCCCGGCTCCCGCGCCTATGGTCGAGCGAGGCGGATTCGGGCGCGGTGATAGCAGCGGTGCATGAGAGAATATCCTCCGTGTGACTTGGGATAATATGTGCTGGGTTGGAGGTAAACGTAATAGCTCGCTGGAAGCGAAACTGCCACAATAGGGGCATGAAGAAAATTAGTGGGTCTGCCGAGGGCGAGGACCTCCCGAGTAGTAACACGAGTCATGCTGAAAGATGGAAGCAGTTAGTGTGTGGAGTCGCCCGTTCACGGGCTCAATACAAAACCGCACCGTCATGCTGACTCATCAGATTTGACCACGTTCAAACGGCCAGGCGATCCACTTGACGGCGTTCCGTGCCGTGGCTTAGCTTTCGAATACCAAAAGTCAGAACAGTGGGACGCGTTTGTGATGAGTCTTCTCGGCGTGACAATCGGTAACGTTTTATATAAATTAATTACGGATTTTGATATACAAACAAATAATCGCAATAGGAATAGATCACGCGATGAGAAGCAGCACACGAAATCTGCTGACGAGAGATTGTGATCACTGATCAGCCTTAAAAATGATAGTTTTGCGGTCACGGTCAGGGTCAGATCAACTGCTAAAGATCGAGATATCGGGAAAATCGGGATTCCCTGCGATGCACCGTTTCGGAGGCAAGTACAGTGAAGTAAAAAGTAGAACCGTTTGACGCCAGCAAGTCCCGAGTTAAATGTTCATTGTTCAGTGCTCACCGCAGCGCGTTTCCGACGGGAGATATACCGATGTTCTGTTGATGGTGTCCCCTGGAAACGATCGACAATGTATTTATTACGGAACCGTATTGACGAAGAACTTAATTGTAAATATAAACTTTTTATGAGAAAGAGAATCTCTAAACAATGGTATGCTTCAAAGGCCCATGATCGAAATATATTTAAAGGTACACTGAACAAATATACGAGTCAATGCGGTGTTTAAGCTTATTCTTATTGCGTTTCACGCTTGCATTTTTCCAAAATACATCGATGGATACATAGTACATACCGATAATCATTCCCATGACGTCCAAGTCTTCCAAATACTTGTGAAAGTTTGATGCTTGTTGGGAAAACCGGGGGGAATGAGAACATTGTCAGTTCAGCCAGTCTCTCGGATTTACAAAGGTGGCTTTACGAAACACATGGCACCGGCCTGACAGTCGTTAAAGGGACCCTCCCACCTTCAAAAAAGTTAATGAATTGGCATGAAACTGATGTCGCTCGGTTCAGAAAGAGCAAAAATGAATATCTACCAAATTTCATCGAAAAATATTCACCGGTTTTCAAGATATTAGACTTTTACTTTTGTTTACTTTTTGGGATCTCCGCTGTTCCTAGCGATTTTATTTGAAAGTGCGGCATTTGTTGCGCGCAAAGCAGCATATACCACCGCGTGCTGCCAAACGTTTTAGTAAAAGATTTAAAAATCGTTAGATCTCCGCTGACGTCACAAATTCTAAGGGGGCATACCAATGCATTAGCCCCTTAGAATCCGAAAACTGCAAGTTTGAAATTCCATATCTCCGAATTAAAGCATTTTTCGATGTTGTGAATGCCCAAACCGGTATTTTCAGGCCAAGGCCACCAATTTGGCTATCTCAACTCAAAACTAATGTTAAGGTGGGAGAGTCCCTTTAAAACGTTCAATTAAGAGCAAATTAGCGATATTTCAAGAATCTTCAAAACAAGCTTTACTAAAGTCATCCAACCAAAACAAACGCACATTCGGCCGTGCAGCGTGTTTAGGATCTGATAAAGGCATATAATTTGTTTGAGACATACGTCCGATTCCCTTACGTATCAGATCCGGCGGCAGGTCCCGTCGGCCCGGGTCCTCCTCAAACCGGTACTCCAGCTTGAACCCGGCCACCGGGCGCCGCACGTGACCGCCGGCACCGTCCGGTGCTGCGGTCACGTGACTGGTCACGTGCAGGTACGGTCCCGATGAGGTGACCTGTACGACACGACCTGAGCGGCAGATTTCGGCGATCACCTGGGCCCGCTCCGTGGTCCCGCCGTGCACGACCAGACGGTCTCCTGAGGCACAGCTGGCGGTCGGGAACGGGGTGAGAAGGTCAGATGGTGAGGGATCCGGCTAGCGACTGCTCTGATTAATAAAAATGGGAGACTTATAAACATCTCGATATGGAAAACATGGTAACTCAGTTTTGTATGGTCTGCAAAAAACAGGTTAACACAGGTAGAGTGTCGTCAAACCCAAGGCTCAAAGTCAAACCGAAACAATGAATTTTTAACCCGCGCCCCGCTGGGCTATTCAGCCATACGCGCCCTGCTGGGGGGGGGGGGCAGATTCTGCCCCCCCCTGTCTAACTTCCAAACCGATGGTCGTAGAAAGACGGGGAAAACGGCAATCGAAAGCTCTCAACAAGGCGGATCTTTAGAGCCCAAATTTTTTTGCTTAACTAGGTCAGAGGTCAGGTCAAGGTCAGGTCAAGGGTACAACATGCAAGTTTCTACAGTATCGGCCTTGCACCGTAGTTGCCGAAGAATGGACTGAGACTGATAGCCCAAAACGTGTTCTTAGACTACCAAGACAATATTCGTTGCATACAATGTCATTCAAAGTTCAAGGTCAAGGTCAGGTCAGGTCAGGTCAGGTCAGGTCACCAAAAACAAAATATGGAAAAGGGCATGTGCGACACATGTTTTATGGGTCATTTTACGCATAGAATTCAATAGGCACACTCAATAAGTGATATGGACCACCTCTGGATGAATTTGAGGTCGAGGTCAGGTCAAGGTCAGGTCAAGTGAGGTCAAATTTTGAAGTTGGTTGTTAAGGCCTAAAAAGGTGTCTATCTGATACAGTTTTTCACGGCGAATCGAATGGTGCTATTTTTGTTTCCGTACGAGGTCTAGAACTTCCAAAAAAATCATTTTTCAAAATTTTTGTGTGTCATGACGTCATAAAATTTTGAATAACTCCCACATTTTTGAACCGATTCTTCTAAAAATTGGTATGTAGGTGCACATAGACCACTTCCCTGACATATATTCCGGTTTTTTTCGATACACTCAAAATTTTGGATTTTATAATTATTTTTCCAAAAAAGTCAGTTTTTTGAAAAAAAATTGGGCCAAAATCCAAAATTTTCAAAAAACCGAGATATTCATTTGATAGACAAAGTAGAATCACGTATAATCTTTTTGTTACGTCTTGATTCCTTTAAAAATGAAGATGTTAGCGGCGTTTGAAATTTTGCCGTTTTTTAGGCGAAAATGGCGAACATGACGTCACTAAAACGTCAATTTCTCAAAAATTTTCCGACGGATTTCGCTCAAATTTTCAGGGAACGTGTCAAATTGATGTATGATAAGGTACTGAAAGTTTGGCGTCGCTGGCGTAACGCGTTTAGAAGTTATTGGCGAAAAACGGGAGGGGGGGCAGATTCTGCCCCCCCCCCCAGCGGGGCGCGGGTTAAGTTAGTGTTAGCTTCGCTATTTTAACCACAAGGAGAAAGATAGAAGTGCGCCCCAGCCCCCAGTCCCTCACGTCCTGTCCTGGGCATCTGACTAGGCGACTGACCTGCTGTCCCCGGAGACTGACCTGATGTGCCCCGCGCTCCCCCCCCCCCCCGGCGACTGACCTGCTGTCGGCTGGCTGCAGCGCCACCCGTACTGCCGTGAGCGTCACTCGCTGTTCCCGGGAGCCGTACAGAGTGTAGGAGCAGTTCCGGTGCGGAGAGAGCGCCGGGAAACCCTCGGAGAAGATGGAGCCCGACTGGCGGTCCTCGCTGAGCAGGAGCAGGTGACAGCCGCCCCCGGACAGACGCTGACCCCGGGTCACAAACTGATCTGTCCGCAGCGGCAGTCAGTTTGGTAGACATGCACGCCTACTACCTCTCCATCACAGTCTGCTAAGTGCTAATGGAAGTGGTAAAATGGAGTGGATAATTTGAAGTAAGTATGGCTCTCGCGAGTTTAAGCGGTAGGTTTTGCCGTTTTGCATTTCCGGCTATATCCCAGAAACTAATCGATATAAGATGAAGCCACTTTAGAGGATCATGGCAGGCATGTGTACGAATAAATCGATCGCTACTTCAATCCTTAAAAGATTTAACGAAGAAGATATAGCCGGAGATTTACCAAATATCATAAGGGGCAAAACCTACCGCTAAAACCCGTGAGACCTGACCACGCCTGCCGGTCTGTGTCAGTTTATTATGTGCATTCATTTGTGAGGTACCTAAGTTATCGAGAATTCGGTTACGGGCATGCAATAACAGTGGTTTCCGCATGCGATAGGATGAGCGATAAACGATAATCGATAATTATCGCTGTTAAGTAAATTGGTTATCGTTATCGTGTATCGCTATATTTTCAAAATTATCGCTCATCCACTTACCGCAAGTTACAAAAATTATAATCGATAAACGATTAAATGTAAAACGGGATGGAAGACGATGGAAAAATGGAAAACGATCGACAGTGTATGCCGCGCGACAGTATGTGTGCGCAACCTGTTGCCATATGCTTAGTGTAGATCTGCAAATAAACGTTAAGTACCTACACTTATTTAAGCTGTATTTCTTATCGCTTTTGTTATCGCTGTTCAAAAATAATTATCGTTATCGTTGTATCGCTTATCGTTTCGTTATCGCTGTTAAAAAAAACAATTATCGTTATCGTTTTATCGTTTATCGTTTCGTTAGCGCTGTTAAAACAATTATCGTTATCGTTTTATCGTTTTATCGCTATCGCTGTTAATGTTTTGAAAAATTTAATTTTATCGTTTATCGTTTAACGTTATCGCAAACCTGTCTTATCGTTTTATCGTTATCGCAGGTCCGAAAATTAGTTATCGCGGAAAGCACTGTGCAATAGGAGCGTAATTAAATTATCAGAAAGTCCCGCAATAAAGAGAGGTAGGTAACAATAACAGGAGCGATAAAATTGGAGACATGGGTGCGTACTTAGGAAGGTAATTCGAAATAATTAGGAAAACGTAAGCATAAAATGAACGGTGGTGTTAGGCGCACCCAATATTCTTGTACATAGGCGCACCAAAACAAATAGCCATTCCTCACCACGGTCAACAAACTTGAACTCTGCGGAAAACCCGCGGTGTTTCTCTGGGTTTCTCTCGGAGACAAATTCCAGCGCCAGGCGGCGAGAGGCGCTGAACCACGAGCGGCCCACGCTGCTGGTGTGGCACACAGTGACGTCACCGGACCGACGGTATGACGTCACTGGTGGAAAATGGTCGCCGCCGTCGGGCCAGTGGAGGAACAGCGAGAGACAGCCCATTGACCCGGGCCTGGCAGAGAAATGGACGAAACAGCTGGTCACCATGAGAAACTGGGAGTTACATAAGGCGGCGCTATAGGGACAAAATAGCAGGAGGAAGAGGCCACTGCCGCTTTTTTAATACGGAAACTGTTAACTACCCTACCTACCTACCCCCTGCTTTCACAAATCACACCTTTTAAATATCCAGAGTCGTCGTTTTAAGTTTTTGTAATCAAAATGAACATCATATTTTGAGTGGATGGTAGATAACGTTCGTGGATGGATAGCTATGAGCTGGATTAACGCGTTGTTATGACAAAAATTTAATGTTTGCACAAAATCTGTCACTTTAAATTACGCAATTTGAATTTCAAATTCAAACTGATAGCCATTATTGCTGCTCTACACCCACGTACTGACAGCAAAACTACATCAAACCACATAAGACGTTTCCACTCTCCCACATGGCACCCCGAAACGACTACTGCGGGAGGGAAATGAATACAACGGGATAGAAACGCAATAAGATCACAGAATGTGACGGAGGCCCTGTGGTTTGTGCGGTCACCGTCATAGAGATCTTATATACATATATCTTATATCTTATATATAGAGAATAGAGATCTTGTATATAAGATCTCTATGGTCACCGTACCCGGACGGTGACGGCTCCAGGTCCAGATCTGTGACGGTCAGCTTCACAAGGTGGTTCGGTGGTGCCACCAACACGTGCCGTTCGCACAGAGCGCGGTCCGCGAACGGCGCCGGGTAGCCGCGACTGGAGACCTGACCCCGACCCTCCGGCACTGAGGAACCGTTCAGCACCGCCAGCGTGCAGCCTGGAACGTAGCACATCGAACGTAATGTCATTATGGTCCGAGATCCTCGTGCCGAGAATTAGGCGTTCTAATGCCCCCCTTTCACCCAGCTCCTGAGTTATGTAACGCCAAGACGCGGCACAAGCAGTAAGCGACGTTCGGGAGGTCGTCAAAAATAAAAAGTACATTGATAACTTTTAAGTTTACGTCAAATATTGAGGAGCAAAGTTCATTGAAGGCCAGACTTGTCCATTTTCTAACGTTTTTACGTTTGCATTTTTCATTTTTAACGTTAACATGTTCTTCCCCACGGAAAAACAAACCTGGTGACTTAGTGAAGTGACCTTGAATGACCGAGGTGCGGTATTTTCAGCATGAGCAGAAAAGGACGTGCCCTGAGCTAAGCGTCCAGCGACTCAACGTCGTTGACAAGCTACTGGGCACTGAGCTCCTTTCGCCTTTCGCTTTCTTTTTATTTTGTAGGATGGGGCTCTTTCGGTCCAACAAGACCGTTTCAGAGCCGAAAGGATTATGATGATGGGGGAGGAAAGACAGGGTGGGTGGCCAACCTGGTGCGCCACCGAGGCTGCTGAGCCTGTCTCAATGGAAAGACAGCCCAGCCTTTACTAAAGGTCACCCCACCGCAAGTTGGTCTGCCCTGAGAAGCTGCCCACGTCGGATGAACGTGACCGTTCGGTCCAGATTAGGGGTTGGAGGCGCGGCGGAGAAGGATTTGATTGTCCAGAGGGTGGAAAAGACGGAACGGTGTTCGGTTTTTCGCTGCGAGAATTCACATATCTCGCCCGAGACGAATGTGCTCCCATCAAACGGCCCGAAGTTCAAATAGGCTAACAGTTTTTCACGGTTACGACCGCACTGACCTTCAAATGGCCCCCTCCCCGTCACCAACAAAGAACACCAGGTTAATAACCCAGCACAAACCAATGGGAACAGAGCACCTTCAGTGTTCTAGAGCGTCCTTCAGTTTCTTTCAGTGACAAAGGCGCGAGAACATTAGTTCAGGCTTACGTGACGGAGCGACCAATATTAATTAAAATCAACGCTTATTGTAAAAGTCAATGCATCACACCAAGAGGCCGCATGCTGGACTACGGAGATAGCATGCAGCCTTCCACTGATCCTGAGTCATCACATGGATACGTTACCCCATTGGCTGGCAGTCCAGCTGTCTGGCAGGGAAACCGTCTGCGTCGCCTGCGCGTCCACGAAGCACATCCAGACCAGCACCTGTAAAAGGTACCATATGTAAAGTTCACAAGATACCTACGTACAAACTGTGATTACTGACGGCCGTTTTCCACCGTTACACGCAATAACTTCACTGGCATTCTTTTTTTGTGTAGTGGAAAGTGGCTAGAAGTTTTAGATACAAATCACCGATACAACTAAAATTAGGTTTGCTGTTAGGTAAAGAAGTAGCTTTGAGACAATAATAAGTGGATCCCTCCAGCCTAAGATTGAAGTATCAATATGTGAGCTTCCTTGTGCTAAAAATAGACACCGTTCTTCTTGAGACATCTGCAGGGTTCGTGTGGGCCGAATCTGCATACATCCTGTATGGCAGCGACAGCGATGGACCATCACGCAGGTCACATGTGTATAGCATACCCAAGGAGCGCGCTATCGCTTCAATTATAGGCATGCACATATTCCGGTGGGCTATTTCTGAAAGCCTTTGGTGCAGGCCGAGGTAATGTGCACAGTGAACTTGTGCAGGTCATGCAGTTCGTGATTCCGTGCCGGCAGCATCAGAATGCTGTGCACATATGGTTGCTCGATGTCCAAGGTCTCTGGTGTCAGACGAATATGCACGTAAGGCACGAGTCCACGACCAACGTCATAGAGGATATCCGGTTGCTGATTATGTAAGGACATATGTGTGTTAAGAGGTTATCGGTAGAGCCAACAAATAGCTAAATAAAAGTATTTTCATTTAGTTATTTGTCGGCTCCACCGATAACCTCATAACACAAAAGTACAGCCGATGTAGCTGCACTTCCCAGTCGTCCGGTGACCAGCTGAACAATGAGCAGTTGGTGGTCCAACGGTCCAACACATACGAACAGCTGTTTATCGACTGACCACGTATGTAACAAGGGCTGATTAGGTGATTATCGATCTACCGGCTTCATTCACAGCAACGGTGCAACAGCTACCTACATAGGTATGGTGACATGATTGATCGACCGACCACACTGCGCGCCCCTTCTATGCATGAAGTAGGATAATCACGGTAAGGTCATCATTTTTACAGTCCTATTTGTGCCATCTCGTACTTCTAAGCGCAAGCTGCAAAACATTTCGCAACAAATGCATCAAAGGCATAAACTGCAATCTGATTGTAAGCTTTGACTTCCAACGGGACCTGTTCACTCGTTCCGCTCGTGCCCGGGCGGCTGAAGCCCACTGAGGCCGAGACTGGTCCACGGTTGTGTGTGCTCCGCCGTTTCACCCGTCTGGCGAGGCCTCCGGTCGAGTTGACTACAGCGTCTGCTGGTGGCTACCGCCGTCCCCACCTGCCGCAGTTGTGAGCCGGCAGCCGCGCGGGTCTCACTGTGTCAGCAGCGCGGCGCGTGATCAGGAGCGGGCCGAGGGGCACTGTGGCCTAACTGTGGCAGAGGCTGTGCATTGTGGCAGCAACAGGAACACTGTGACTGAGCTGTGACAGCAGGTGTGGGACACTACGATAGCCGTGGCTGCGATCAGAATGCTGTGACAAAGCTGTGGCAGCGACAGGATGACTGTGACGAAACTGTGACAGTGCCAGGCATCCTGTGGACTGTGGCTGCGACCGGGACACTGTGAACTGTGGCTACGGCAGGCGTACCGTGACTGACTTGCGGTGGCAGGAGACGGTTCTTTGTCGACAAACGTCAAACACATTCTGACACGGTAAGTGGTGCTGGCGGTCGGTGAAACGGCACATTTCGGAGTGATGGGATTGGAGTCGGTTGGATGGTAATGGTTTGTAACGATAATGGTCTGTAGTTTGTTGGCCTGGATAAGTTGCGCATAGGTCACTAGAATG